GAGTTGTCAGGAATGTCTTTTGTCTGTCCGGGCGGGGGGGGATTCTTTAGTACACAAAGAGAAAAACTACAAAACTACTGCAGAAACTATTGTTGAAAACTAGTATTGTTTTTGTTTATTGTTGTTGTTATTATGCTACAACTTAATCAACTGTGAGTTGCTTCTGAAATTATAAAACACACAAACATTTTTAAGTGATATGTGGTCAGAAGTTCACCTCAGGTTTAAAAAAGGAAGTTTTTCCAAAGGAAGTTCTGACACAGTTAATATATACAACATGGCCAAATGTGTGTGGACAGCTGCATGTTTAATTTGTGTTTGTTGTTCTTTCTGTTTTGTCTGGGGATGTTAATTAATTAATTTAAAATATCAATTAATTAATTAATATTAATTCCTTGATTAATTCATTTATTTCATTTGTTTACTCGTCTGCTGTAACTCAAAGATTTCTATTCAGAACAGAAAAGACTATGGAGAGAGTGTCCACATACTTTTGGCCATTTAGGGTTCATTGTCTGAAGGAGTCAGACAGGAAGGCCTAAGAGTTTGTTTTCACAATAAAGTTTTCTGTTGTTTTTGTATGTATACATATATATTGTGTTTTTTGTATCTATATATATATATATATATATATATATATATGTTTTTGTGTGTGTATATATATATTTATTATTTGTTTATTTTGTGTTGTTTGTAATATATTGACATAATATATAATCAATTTTTTTCAAAAGTGTCTGTGAAGAACTTCAGTAAATATAAAAAAATGTATTATGATTTTTTATAAAATAATAAATTCATGTTGTACAAAGAGGGTTTGTTTGTGATCTTCTAATGAAAAAAATAAATAATTTAAACATAATATACAAATATAATAGACACAAACATTTGTAATATAATTACACTTCTCTAGTTGGTTTTTCACATATAAATCTCTTCCATTGTGGATCCATGAACCATAAATAAAATCTACAGAACAAACAAACAGAATACACATAAACACCCAGGTTTATTTTGAAAGGCAGGCCGGATGTGTAGTCCTGAGGTGTAGGTGCCGGCAGACTAAGGAGGCGGGCTCTCAAGTCTAAGGAGGTCTGCAGGGTCCTGGGGGTCTGGCAGTCTCTGCAGGATTTCAGGAGGTTCAGATGGTTTGAGGGTGTCTGGTTTCTTGAGGTTTTCACAGTCTGGATCTTTGGAGAGTTCTCATACTCTGGAGGTAACTGGAGGTCTCAGGTTCTGTTGGTTTTTAGGTTTTTGTCTCTGAGAATCAGAATCCGGATGAGCAGCATGTTGGAGCTTCAGCAGGCGGTTTTGCTCGGTGAGTTTACTCTGAAAATACAACAGTACTTCATCAGTACTTTATCAGTACTTAACCAATACTTTGATAATACTTTATAAGTACTTCAGTACTTTAACAATACTTTGATTAAAACTGAATCAACCAGTCAACCAATAGTTAATCAATCAGTAATTTTATTGATCCCAACTCTCTCTCAGTCTTTGTTTCCCTCTGAGTAAATCAAACAACTTTTATGGATACAGTGATTCATTGATCAACAGAGAAAATCTTTATCATTAATCTGGTCAAAGTGATTTAAGAAATCAATCAATGAATTAGTTACTGATTTACTGGTTCATTGATTAAAGGAGGGGCAGTGAAATCTGATCAATCAAATCAAAGATTTTTCTCTTTTTGTTGTTTTGGACATTTAAAGAGTCTCGAGATATTTTAGAGACTGATTGATTATTGTAGAAAATAATGCTTTTTAATCATTCATTAAATCAGAGGTATTGATATGTCCACGTGCTCTATAGATAAATAAATACATCAACAAATACAGCATTCCCATTGTTGTTTTTGTTGTTGTTCCGCAGTAGTATCCAAACACACACAAATAAACAACTGAGTGTTAACATTTGTCAAATTTACAATTAAGCCCAAATAATAAAAATTCAGTCACATTTCTCCTCAATCAAGAACTCTCAAACTATTTTAAACAAATATAACTCTAATATCTGGGGAAGCACATTGGTTACAGTTTACTGTGTTTGGTGTCAATCTGTAACTTTACCACTAGATGCCACTAAATCCCCAGGCCTTTAAAGTGTTTAATGTGTTTAGAAATGATTAATGATTAAATCTGCAGTTTCTCCTCAATCAACAACTCTTAAACTCTTCTAAACAAATTTAACTCTAATATCTGGGGAAGCACATTGGCTACAGTTTACTGTGTTTGTAAAATCTGAGTTTGGTTTCAATCTGTAACTTCACCACTAGATGCCACTAAATCCACGGACCTTTAATGTGTTTAGAAATGATTAATGATTAAATCAGACGTGGTGTCGTTATTTACCTGTCAGTCAAACAGGGGCGGGGCTTCAACACCTCATTGTAGTTTTTTTTTTAAAGTCTGATTTTAATTCTGCTCAAGTCAGATTTTCATAATATGAGTCTCTGCTCTCAGCTCTGCAGGTGTTTACCTGCGCTCAGGTGGGCAGGGCCCAGGATGACGTCAGCCTTCCAGAGTACAGTGACGTGTGCACTGAGGGCAGCTGTTACCCAGCAACAGGAGACCTTCTGATTGGCCGAGCCCACCAACTGTCATCCACCTCCACCTGTGGACTAAGCCAACCCCAACCATTCTGCATCGTCAGCCACCTGCAGGTAATAAATACTATATAAAGATAAACAACACATAAACAATATAATATACAGGTAAACAACACATAAACAATATAATATACAGGTAAACAACATATAAAAAATATGATATACAGGTATCCATTCTCTCGGGAAGACGTCAGTCTGGTTGGCCTTTCTGTTTTTAATTGGTTTAAATCTTAATGACAGAGATGTTTTTGTAAGCACTGATGAATGTTCAGTGCTGTGCCATTGATATGTCATAGGTTCTCTCTGAAGCCAATACAGAGACACTAATGCACACTGTAATTACCTTGATTACTGTAATACTCTACTATCTGGTCTCCCCAAGAAGAATATAGCTAATTACATTTTCTTCAAAACCTTTTCTGGCCGAACCAGACATGAATTAAACTGTTTTAAGAAGTGATTCTTTAATTAACACACACACACACAGCAGATTTCAGTCTGAATACTTCCTGCAATGTTTCTGTCCTGCTTCAATCTGATTGGACAGTGTTTAGTGTTTAGTTAAAGTGTGTGTTTGTATTGCAGTCTGCAGTGTTTCCTGTTTAAATCAGCTCCCTATAAGGGAACGTGGAGCTCTGACAGCAGACAGATGTTTGTCCAGATGTTTCTGTGGAGGAAACAAACTGTGGGTGTCCAATCAGGATGAGAGAGTTAACTGAGAATGCTCAGTGTGAAGTTGATTCTTTAAACAAGGTTGGATTTCGGTCAGAGAGACAGACTGGTAGCTTTTGTTCTACTGCCAGAACAAACGTTAAAGTTGATTTCATCCTATATCTTTTCTGAACGGCAGCTGGTGACAACAGGTATACCGTCAGGTGTGATGAAGGTCAAAGTGAACAAAGTAAAACTTTAACACAAAGTCCCTGACACCAGAACTTTAAACGTTCAGAACAGAAAGAAAATCCAAGGTTTCAAATAAAATCTATAATTAATCTGAAGGGAAAGAAACTGAAAATCTAGTACTTATTATAAAGTGAAACAGTCGAAGCTTTAAAGGGTTAAACTTTTTTCTTCAAAATATCGTTTGACTTTAGAACAGGAAGTAGTCAAAGAGATGTAATTTGTGTTGAAAAGTCTGCGGTCAGGAAGTTTCTTCTGATCTCTACTGAGCTTGAGCAGAGAGGAATGTGAGGAATTCATACCCCCCCTTCCCCTCACTGTGTCTCATTAACCAGGAAGAGAAGAAATGTTTTGTGTGCGACTCCACGGACCTCTACGACAAGCTGACTGATCAGCCAAGAGGTCATCGTATCGAGAACGTTGTCACAACGTTTGCTCCGAACCGACTGAAGACCTGGTGGCAGTCTGAGAATGGTGAGAATAACCACACACAGAGGGGAGGTCAGTCAGAGGGCAGAGGTTAGAACTCCTACTCAAACTTCAGAGGCAGCAAGAATCACAGTCTGATTAAATGATCACAGATCAGCTGACATTACTTTATTAAACAAAGACTTCTTGTCAGAGACAAACAGCCCCTTTCACACAAAGTAGTTCCAGGAATTAGACCAGGAACTCAAAGTCTTGTTGAGACCAGTGTTTCTCTATTGGGGGTATGCATACCCCTTGAGGGACGTTTGAGTACTGCAGGGGATGGAAGTTCAATAAACCATATTTTATATTCAACATGTTTTAAATGAAAATAATGAAATACAAAAATAAAGAAAATGGATTTGCGAAAAAAAACAAACTTGCATCAGTATCGGGAATTTTATTAGATTCTATTCTCTCACAAAGCATTATTGTGTTTCTACAGTTAATAAATCAGACACTGATTTGCTTTTGTTTTGCCAGACATTTCTTGTGCTGATTAGGGGAAACCTGAAAAAAATATTCAACAGAGGATAATAAAGTGCTGATGTACTGCTTTAGACTAATTACTGAGTCGTGATGAAAAGAACAACTTAAACTGTCTGCAAAGCTCCATCACGGACAGTCTTGTCTAAAGAAGATCTAATACAAACAATATTATAGCTTATTGATTTAATGATGTATCTCCCTGTTTCTTACTGTCTGCAGGTCTGGAGAATGTCACCGTCCAGCTCAACCTGGAGGCCGAGTTTCACTTCACACACCTCATCATGACCTTCAAGGTAAGTTCTACACAGGCACATTTTTCAGGCATCTATAAGGCATCAGCAGTTCACACAAAGCAACTGATTTGCCTCTGAGCTGTGGGTGTTTGTCTGCAGTCTCCAAAAACTGTCAGCGAGTGTAAAATCAGGACTAAAATCAGTTTAGTACTGACTCTACTGTCTGCTGGTCCAGCCCAAGAGGAAGAAGTTGTCTGCTCTCTTTGTCGCTCTGTGGGATCAACAGAACTGTTCCCTAACACAGTTATCTCTCCTCAGACGTTTCGACCTGCTGCCATGGTGATCGAGCGGTCAGCTGACTTCGGGAAGACGTGGCAGGTTTATCGCTACTTCGCCTATGACTGCGAGACTTCTTTCCCATCCGTTTCCCACGGTCCAATGCAGAAGGTCGATGATGTCATCTGTGACTCACGTTACTCTGACATTGAGCCGTCCACTGAAGGAGAGGTACTGCTGACCACTAGTCTGCTAACCACTGGGTTAACGGGAAATTATGTCATAACACAACTGATTCACTGTGATGTCACAGAAGGTAATTTGTTTTGTTTCTTTCCCAGGTGATTTTCAGAGTTCTGGACCCGGCGTTCAGAATCGATGACCCCTACAGCCCCAGAATCCAGAGTATGTTTCCTCACACCGACCTGGTTATTGATCTGATGTGATCTGTTGGGTCATTGATCAACTATTATTTAACTTTAATGACTGCTATTCTATGTGTTGGGCTATTAATCTGTCACTGATCAGCTGTTATTGATTGTAGACATGTTGAAGATCACCAACCTGCGGGTGAAGTTCACCAAACTGCACACACTTGGAGACAACCTGCTAGATTCTCGGATGGAGATCAAAGAGAAGTATTACTATGCCATCTATGACATGGTTGTCCGAGGGAACTGCTTCTGTTACGGACACGCCTCCGAGTGTGCCCCCATCCAGGGAGCCGGGAAGATCAGGGAGGGCATGGTGAGTCCTGGAGGGAAATGAGGAGTCTTGAAGGGACCAGGTCTCTGAACATTGATTGAATATTGATTATTTTATGATTTTGTGTCTTCAGGTTCACGGTCACTGTATGTGTAACCACAACACTAAAGGTCTGAACTGTGAAAAGTGTCAGGACTTCCATCACGACCTTCCCTGGAGACCAGCTGAGGGACGCAACACCAACGCCTGCAAGAGTGAGTCAGTAGTAGTAGTTTTCTCTGGTCTTACCTCCGTCCACTGATCTGTACTGGTCTCTGCTGGTCCCTTCTGGTTTATACTGGTTTATTCTGGCCTCTTCGGGTCTTGACCACTGCTGTGTACTGGTTTCTACTAGTCTCTATGATTGTCTGCTGGTCTCTACTAGAAAACAGCCAGTACAAACCCAGTCTCTACTTGGTTCTAGTGAACTTAGATTAGACTTTTGACCTGATCCTGATCCAACTGTCACTTCAGTTTGTTTTATAAATTCATTATGATCAATAATCAATCATCATGACTTCGATCTATTGACTTCTTTCCTTGTGGTGTCTGTAGAGTGTAACTGCAACCAGCACTCAGACTCGTGTCACTTTGATATGGCCGTGTTCGTGGCTTCAGGAAATGTCAGTGGAGGAGTTTGTGACGAGTGTGATCACAACACTGCTGGACACAACTGTGAGCAGTGTAAACCGTTCTACTACCAGCATCCAGAGCGGGACGTTCGAGACCCCAACATCTGCCAACGTGAGTCCACCACTGAGTCCAGACTGTGACTTTTTTCTGAAGTCTTCCTCCTCACAGTGAATTTTGTCCTGTGTGTGTTTCTGTAGCCTGTAACTGTGACCCAGTGGGCTCTCTGAATGGAGGAATATGTGACCGGATGACAGACGTTCGAGCCAGTCTGATCGCCGGTCAGTGTCGCTGTAAAGTCAACGTGGAGGGAGAACGCTGTGAGAGCTGCAAAGAAGCACATTATGGGATGAGTGACCAGCCTGAAGGCTGCAAGGGTACAACCTGACATGTAACACCTACACAGTAATACAACATACACAGACACACTGCGTTTCAGCGTGTACACTCACTGTCACTGTGTATTATTTCTGCGTTTCAGCATGTACACTCATTGTAACTGTGTATTATTATTGCGTTTCAGCATGTACACTCACTGTCACTGTGTATTATAACTGCGTTTCAGCATGTACACTCACTGTCACTGTGTATTATTACTGCATTTTAGCATGTACCTGCAATCCCGTGGGAACAGTTCCGGGAGGAAATCCATGCGACAGTGAAACAGGAAGTTGCTTCTGTAAACGTCTGGTGACCGGACGGGACTGTGACCAGTGTTTGGTAAGAAATAACATTACAATACATTTACTGTTGTTACACAGCATATGTTTATTGTGTGTGTGTTTATGTGTTTAATTTGTGTGTTTATGTGTTTATTGTGTGTGTGTGTAGCCTGAATGACTTCCTCTCTCAGCTTTAAATCAGGTTTTTTACAGGACTAAAAATCTCTGACATCTGCTGTGTGTGTGTGTGTGTTTTCAGTCTGAACACTGGGGTCTCAGTAATGATATGGACGGCTGCAGGCCATGTGACTGTGACCTGGGAGGAGCCGTCAACAACCAGTGAGTTCAGATCCAAATCACAGCTAACTGCTAATTGCTAACTGTTAACAACTAACTGCTAGCATTTAACGGTGTCTTTGTCCTAATAAACAGTTTTAACAAGATCCTAGTTTTCTTGTTTTAAATCTGCAACACAAGAATAAAACAAGATGTAGCTGGAAATACAAATCACAGGACTGGAGATAAAAAATAACATGTAATTCAGATGAATTAGATCAGGAGTTGGCAAAACTCTTTAGATTTAATACTTTCATTTATCATTGTTGTAGGACTAAAATGATTCTTACATTCTCCAGCTGTAAAAATATGTATCCATTACACATCAAATAAAAACAAGATTTTAACATTTTGTCAACTAAAATGTGTGTCACACGTTGCGTCCTGACTTGGAGCCCTGGAGAATATGGGATGTGAGAAAAGGCCAAGGCCCTCTCAACAAGAGAGACATAATGTTGACATTTCAGCACAAAAGTAATTAAACACTGTAAGATGTAACTTTATTTCTCTGAAGAGAGTGCCACTTCCCTCTGATGACAAAAGAAAACTAACTGCTCAAGAAAAATGGTGTCGCTTTTGATTTGTTTCACTTTCTTAGTTTATTTTTGTCAGTTTTCCTGACAAGTATCCTTCCTGTTTGTTCTGTTTCAGTTTTCTTTTTTGGTTTGACATTTTCCAATTCCTGTCTTCCTGCAGGTGTGATCAGGTGAACGGCCAATGCATCTGCAGAGATCACATGTTTGGTCGACGCTGTGATCAGGTTGAATCGGGATTCTACTTCATCGCTCTGGATCACTACACGTATGAGGCTGAGGATGCCAAGTTTGGACCTGTAAGCCACCCTTTTAACCTTTGTGTATATGTGAATGAATGAGTAAGACCTAAAACTAAAAACCTAAAAGAAAAATAACATAAAATCCAATCCAATATCAAAGCCATTGATTTTCCCTATTGTTCAGTGATCATGGTGTGAAATTTCTATGTTGACTTCTAGCATCTGATGTGTAGTTTGTGAGGCAAAATAAAATAAAAAAACAGAATTTGAAGTGGACTTGAAAAAGCAGAGTTTTAGTCATTGTTCTTTAACTGGGAATGTCCACACTGTAATACTTAGTACAACATTATCGATGCTTTGGCCGATGTAGCCAGTGTATGTCAATATCATTGTCCTAAAACTCACACCACTCTATAGTACTAAAGCTGTGACGTATGGGTCTGATTGGTTAGACGTTATGATCGGTGTGTCCTGCTGACTTTCTGCCTATACACCAATCCAGCAATCGGTTTGTGTGTTCCATCATTAATAATCAGAATCAGAATCAGAATCAGGTGTGAAGTTGTGAAGTGGCCCCGGCTCCTGCTGAGCTGGGGGGGGGGACTGGTGAGGTGGGGCTGGTGAGGGGTGTCACGGGGGATGGTGTCAGGACTGCTCCTTT